ATGTACTGTTTAATACTACACCATATCACGTAATGAAGAAACAATGTATGCTTTATATTGGTAATTGTGTAACACATTTTATGAAATTTAATAGCATTTGCTCGTACCATTAAAAGTATGGTAATAGGAATAAATTAACACTTGTTGTTTTCTATGGCATGAAACTGGATAACGTGTAGCTAAACAGCATTTATAAGCAGACAAAAATGTTTAAGTAACTTATCTAATCAGTGTTACTAGTGTTACAAGTGTTACTACTACTCTAAGTTTAGTTTAAAAACCTACTAAATCAATCGCGTGTCCAATAATAGCACATATTAAATTGAGTGAGATACCTACCGAAAATAGTGTCTTATGTGATAATTAGTGAATGGAAATACAAATCTTTAGTTCCAATAACAAATGGGTCACCAATTAGAACATAGTGCGCTTTTTACTTGTTAATGAACGAATTTTCACTTTTAACAAGGAGTGAAAATAGGTATCTTTTCAACCTCATGAAATATTTCAACCCGAGTCCATCAGAAGGCTTTCCTCAAATCATCCTTTCAAATGAATCAGTCAAAGAGATGGTTTACTTTGAAGTTGAAGAACACAAACTCTGCTGCCCGAGATAGCGGGACTGTCTGACTTTGATGTTGATGTGCATCACCATTTCCTGGGTCTACTACACCTTTCTGCAAATAGGTCAATAAACTTTATGAATTAATAAAAACAGCATGGGATAGGACTTAAATATTCAATTTTTCGGTAAGGAAAAATATTCAACAATGGTTTACGAGAGCTTCTGCATAATTTGTTGTTGTTGTGAATAGTAATATCGGCTGATAATATGATTGTGTTGTTGGTGATTGTATGTTTCAATTTTCATTTTCATTTAAATTTTTATTATTAGAGTTTTTGGGTTTTTGTTATTAGTGTTTTGAAAATTTTGCCCTTAGGTGGAGCGGGAGTAGGCGGTAGCTAAACATTTTCAAACGGCAAGCATAGGCGAGTGTGGTATCATTTTACAGGTCTTGACAAAACTAAACAATTTACATAAAGAAACCCAAAATCAGACCACTAATTAAAAATGGCTCCCTAAAACGTTTCAAATCCTAATAACCATGAGGCTGGCTGAAGAATTAACTTGCACCCCTTTAACTTTAAAACTTTTTGAGATATTTGAAATCGGTTTGCGGAAACCTGTTTGGATATGAGGGGCTACAATAATGATGGTTTTCCCCTTAGGGGTTATGCGGGGGGGGGGGGTAGCTCAAAATTGTCAAATAGGAAGTATGGTTGAGTTTGGTATCATTTGACAGGTCTTGACAAAACAAAACAATAAACATAAATAAAATAGAAATCGGACAACTAATAACAAAATAGCAGCTAAAAATTATTAAGACAATGGTTATTAAAAGTAATTTTTAACTGCCATTTTGTTATTAGTGGTCCAATTTCTATTTTATTCGTGATAGTTGTTTAGTTTTATCAAGACATGTAAAATAATACCAAACTCGGCCATACTTCCTATTTGAAAATATTGAGCTACACCCCACCCCCAGTTATGGCGGATAGGCTACGTATTACCCCTAAGGGCAAAATTTTCAAAATCACCATCATTATTGTAGCCCCTCATATCCAAACAGGTTGCCGCAAACCGATTCCAAATATCTCAAATTGTTAAAAATTAAAGTGGGGTGCAAGTTAATTTTCTGCCTCCCTATTGGTTATTTGGATTTGAAACGTTTTAGGGTGCCATTTTGTTATTATTGGTCCGATTTTGGTTTTCTTTACGTCAATTGTTAAGTTTTGCCAAGATCTGTAAAATTTTACCAAACTCGACTAAGCTTGCTATTAAAAAATTTGGAGCTACCCCCTACCGCCACTACCCCTAAGGGCAAAATTTGCAAAACTAACCATAATTATTGTAGCCCCTCATTTCTAAAAAGGTTGCCGTAAACCGATTTCAGATATCTCAAAAGGTTTCAAAGTTAAGGGGGTGCAAGTTTTTTTTTCAGCCACCCTGTATTTTATTCTACAGTTACTATAAATTATATTAATAATTAGTCCTTCAAACACTTTACAACAAGTTGATTTTGAAACAGCCACTTGAAGGATGGAAGAAGCACCACTAAACCTCAATTTTCTTAGATATTAAAAGTATTTCAAGCCGTGTTTAAACTTATCGTTTAACCCCTACATCAATCATTGTCATAAGTCTTTTAGTTATGTATTTTATATAAACCTTAAATATAAGCCATCTGGTCTTAGGATGTGCAAACTTTTGGATTTATGTATATTGAAATATTATTTATATAAGCTGACAGATTGAATTCATCCAAGAGCGCTTTACTCAACAATATAACATCGCCAGACAGGTGAATCTAACGGTGTTGAGATGACGTTGAAACTTGATGAACATGTTTTTTTATTTATTAAATTGCAAGTCTTGTTATTTTTAATAATGAGTGTAATGTATTTTGTTTATTTTTACCCGATATTCTTATTTTCTTATACTACTATAATTACATTGCACAGTGTCTAAGGAGAACTCAAAAGACGAGGATATTGCTAGTAAAACACCAATACTGTCTCGAGAGCAGCAGATAAGATGAGGCTGATGTTTACGATGGATTCTTGTTGGGTTTTACAATTTCTCAGGGTCTATTAGCACTGGCTGACTGCCACGTCTCAGACCTTTGTACATTGCGAGGTCAGGGTAATACCCCCTGGTAGTGGTAAACAAAGAAATGCACCGGGAAACAGGCCCCCAAGGCGTAAACGTAATACCCCGTAGGGTACCTAGATTGATTATGTTATATGAACTTATGCATAAAGTTTATAACGAGCATTTAAACGTCATTAGTTACCAAACATTCAATCTTTCTTAAAACTGGAAGCTGCGACATATTTTCAACGATGGAGGTGCCAAAATTGAAGATCAAACAGTGAAGAAGATTATCATTGTCATTAATGTTTAGCATATTTTCCGCTGAATATGAATACAGGGCGTATAGAATGTAATGAGAGATTATTTTGAATTTGAATTTTATAAGATTTTTTACTTTTTAATTGCCATGAGTAACTAACTGATTTCCTTGACTATACAACTATTTAATAGGAAAGATTTTACTTATCATTTTATTGCATATTTGTATTTTTATTTTGTAGCAAAATTAAAACAGTCAATTTAGTAGAAGAATTAATTTAGTTTTTAACAAACTGATGGTTTGTTTAACCTCAGAGTAATTATTAGTCTAAGGTTTAACCATTGTTTTAGAAGAGTTATTAAACAAATGCTTGTAAATATCAGACTTGTTTCGTAAATAAAGCACTTTTCTTTAAATTCATAGAATGTAGTGACATTATCTGTATACCTTTGTCACTGACTAAGACCGGGACTGTTTGTTAACCCAGGGTCATTCATTAAAAGCCCTACGATTAATGATCTCTGGACCAGGTTTTGAACCGTTAAAAAGCTACTGTCTTTATTCTTTCCTCGAGCTCGAACCTTCATGCTGTCTTCTGATTGTAAGCCAAAGACTGGAGATAACCAGCATATAAACCAATGTACAAATTGCAAGGTAATTTGAAATTCATAACCAGCAGTGGTTTGTTGCAACGCGAAAGTAAATACTATCGCCGTATTAGTATTGTAATTGTTGTAGTGTAACCACATAACGACTCTACGTAACATTTGTGTCTCTCCTCTTGGACTTTGTTAACTGGACTAATTAAGTCTATAAAAGGCAATTTTGGACTTAGTGGCTCAATTTACATCAAACCATTGGTGTGAGTAAAAGTAAAAATACTAAAACGTTTGTCCCTATAATGACAATTCAACTGTCAACGTTTTAGCGTGTAGCATTAAATACGCGTTTTAGGTGTTTTTAATTCTGTGCACATACAAGCGCAATATCTAGCATATGGATTACGATAATGTTCTATCAAAGGAAATCATTTCTTGACAACCACGTGCTAAAAGCATTCACTTTTAATGATCATGCCCTTAAATCTGTCGCATTACAATAAAACTACAATAACTGTCTGCTAATATTTATGGTATGTTGTGGTTAATGCATTTTATACATCGTGATAATTGAAATAATTATAATTCTTATGCATTCCTGTAATTGGTGTAATCTGTTGGAAATGAATAAATAATACTGGTATCGTATGTGGTGAGATTGCAAAAGACACTAAAATTGAACCCGAAATTACATTTACAATAATTGTACGAAAATCATCATTATAATATAATGAAATAAACTTATTTTAATAAACCAATTATATATAAAAACGGGTTATCATTTCTTGTTAGATGCTTATTGCTTGGATTGGAAATCAAACCAAAGCATGGATTGTTGAAAATATTCACCACACGATCTGCCGAGGCAGCGTTCTCGTAAAAAGCCTCGACATCTTCTCGTAATGTAATTCTATTATTTTAGATTATTTGTATACATTAACCTTATAACCTACAGTTCATTAAATTGCCCATAAATTAGATAACCTTATGAGTATCTTACCTATGGTTAAATGGGTTAAATGTAGTTAGATAACATGTCTTGCAATATGCACAAGATGTATCATTAGTGTTAGAAGAAAGGACAGTTTCAAATTAGTTGTATTTAATATTACAGTGAGGGGTATTTATTGCTTGGAATTTTTATGTTCGTGGTAAGGTTGATGAATCATTCCCATTTATATTACATTTTATCGATAACACACTTAAGTTAAGTCTTGGTTTTCATTCCGTACAGTAAGGTACCTGTAAAAAAATACTGACAGGGATGATGATCTTAAAATAAAAGTAGGTACTACTAGGTCTTGGATGCCTCTGTTTTTCATCACGTCGTATAGTCTCGAGGGCAAGGGTAGCCTATAAAGGGCTAATTTCACCGTCTGTGTTGGGGTGGCGGTCGACAGTGGCGTGCCAAGCGGTCTGTAGCGCAACTAGACACTTCGCCGCGTCGCGTCGTCTGCTACGCTCCGTTCACGTCCAGTCTTGTCTCGTGCTGTGTTGTGCCGGCTTGAGTTGTGAAACGTGCCTCGTGTGGGAAAAACATACTGTGTGAATTGAGTGAAGGATAACAAAAACAAACCACAGAAAACCTACCAAAAGTAAGTAGTTTGGTTGTCTTAATGTAGTTAGTATTTCTTTAATAGTTTACGTTTACTTTTTGGGTTGCTAATTACTTAATACCCATGAGTTGTTTACTGATTGGGAATAAAGGTATTAAACAAAAGTTAGAACTGCTGGAAAAAGTGCCTACAATACCAGTGAATAAATTATTTAGAGATGCATAAAACGGTGTAATAAAATAACTGTTAATAGAAATAATTTATCCTCGTTTAAAATGAAGTTTTTGTTAGATTTTTAACATAAAACTAAGACTGGTTTATTTTGAAATTGAAAAATATAAGTAGATCTATTTCTAGAACGATTGAAATTTAAACGCAGAAACATTTCAACACTATTCCATCTTTCACCATATGGTATATACATTCAAACTACACTGTCTGGTCTGCCTTCTACAGGGTCTAAAGTATTTCATAAAAAAACATAAATACAATTTATTATTACCATATAAGATCTACTAATAATTAATAATAGTTCTCTTTTAGTAGAAAGTTTTATAAGACTCTGTGATCAATCGCTCTACCGTATCTTCAACTGCTAGAACCAGAGAAAACAGAATAATAGAACTTAAGTTTACAAGAAAATAAAGAAACACATACGAGGTAAATAAAATAATTCAACTTTTACGTCCTGTGATCTTAAAATGTAGTTTTGGATTTTTAGCTGAAGTTTTGAAATTATAGCTTAATTTTTGTTCCTCAATATTTCAATTTATTACGTAGTTTCTTGTTATTACGTTTGATTGTATATAATCCATGGTGTAATAATGAACTATTTCAACTCTTTGATCGTTATTCCAGGTAGACAATCATTATGTGAAGATTTTATTTAAAACAGTTCTTAAATTAAATTAAAACTGCTCGAACTACTGATCCTTTGGTGAAAACACGGTACTATTAATGAATATATGTAGTTTGTATGCATGTAACTGTTTAACTGCATCGTCTTCGTTCATTCTCATTCGTGACTTGGGGCACAGAAAACGTACTAGTAGAACGTTTTCTGTGCTTGGGGCGTACTCCTACTAAATATTTCCTTATAGAACCTATAGCCTACATTAATTTCAAATATTGATCTAAAATATTACGACCAGAACCAGGAGCTACTCACGTTGATTAATTTACACGAATAGAAAGTAATATTACTGGTAGGCCTAATGAAGTTACTGTATTTGTATGTATTTGTTAAGCTTACAACTTTCAATAATTAACAACGTTGAGCTGAGTCGTAACCAAGATATACGTTTTACACACTTGGACTTTTAAGTACGGTTACGATTGAAATACTCGCACTACCTATCAGACTCTCCCCAAGGCTATATTTCTCCCTCCCTTATCTCACACCGGGGTCTCCCCAATCACTGGGGGGGGAGGGGGGGGGGTACGGTACGTGGTGCGTGCCTTGGATCTGATGTAGCCTTCGTGGGGATCCGTGGGCTATTGATTGTAATTCCAACGATTAAACTTAACTGGGCACTTTGAAGGAGATTTTATAGACGTTGATTTGGTCTAAAAAGTTCTTTTTCATAATTATCGACAATGTTCCGGAGCTATTACTATGATTTTTCAGTGTGCAGATAGGGGACTAAGAGACTTAATGAGTCATTTGTTTGCTCGTCCGTCAATCTGTCAGTATGTTTGTCACTCTCTACTCAACGACTGTCAAATGTCTGGGTAAATAGGTGGTAGTCTCCTAGTCACAAGCCTCGTCTATACTGACTCAGGACATATAGAATTTACTATCGATTTACCAGTATAAAATACAGTAACAATATTATACCCACAATTGTGGGTCTTTAAATTAATATAATCAGTGTAATTAACAACCTTAACACTCGACGAGATCTATTAAAACAACTGATCTGGAAATGATTAACGATTTATGTTTGTACAAATATTACTTGTGGAATTGTGTTTGCTGTTGTTATAGCTGTAATTAAAGCTATTAAATGAGAATGTAGCAATTTAGAAATTTATATAGTCATGTTAAAAAAGTAAGCTAGTTCTATCAATATGCACCAATCCGACAAGATCCGTGCAGAGAAACAACATTTTTGGATAGCTAAAACTACCTAGCATGCAAAAGTTATTACTTAAAGATACTTTAATAGATGGTCAATCGCCTTTCACTTGCATTTCTTCTATCGTTTTACAGTGTGAATCATCCTTGTGCAGGGTAATCAATACTGAAGGACCTCATTTGTCATAAACGATACTTGTAGGAAAGGGAAAGGTCTTGTTAAGCTAAGTGGCGATGGTTGAAACGTTACAGTTTTTCAGAAGTCTGAATGAGAGACAAGTTATAACATACCCACGGCGTGGCGTGTTCAATCTGGTAGCGATATTAGTACATAATTGACACGCTGACGTAGACATTAATGAGCAAAGCCGGCGGCCGACAATTAGCGCTGATGAGGCTCTGGTGGCGATACACTCTACATTATTGCGTTCATCGCATTGTACACAATATCATACATAGGCCAGTATCAATGATCTTATAATACGGCTGTTGTTATACACCACAGAACGATGGATTTAGATTCTCTATGACATGACAAAACTACTTGTGTGTGTTTTTTTTGTTGTTGTTGGATACTTCAACTACCTTTTTCATCCTTGTGTAAAATGTGTAACCTATTTACACCGATTCACAAAGATGCCAATTTTAAAAGGCTTTAAGATAAATAAAGGATGGGTGATGGGTATTGGATGAATTGTGTGATACTGTATTATTATAAGCTATTATATTATTATAAGTTATATATATTTTATTATTATAAGTTATGATATTATTATATTATTATAAGTGTGTCTCTGACTTATTAAGATCAGACGCGTCTTAAACCCAATGATAAAGTACAGCTGGATCTAATTTCGAACCACCACAATAAATCTTCTCTCAGTAATGAAACGGCAACTTTCTGTTTGATCCATCCAACATAGTTTCGATTTCATTTACAATTTGGAGGTACCATAGGCCTACGTAGTAGGTTCTGGATTGAATAAGACATCTTTCTCTTACAATTCTTATTTATGATAAAAGTATTTTTAGAACAGTTTGACTAAACCTGTCTATTGGAATAAGATCGTTTCTAATATTAGCATTGTATATTTTTATAATTATTATTGAAATATTTTCTCTACCGAATTATTCCCTATTCCGGTGCATTTCCTCCTCTGGGGGAGAGATATCGGGGGAGAGTCAACATGATCATCTCACGGTACATTGATCATCAGTGGCAAGTCTTATATCCAGGAGGGTGGCATCCGTGATGTGCACATGTTTGTTGTAGATTTCTAATACAAATTCACAGAAATTCAGAATAATCGCCTGGTTTACATGTATATAGTTTTATTCCAAGTTAGTGTAAAATCTACAAATGTGTATCCACCCAACCAGTACCACAGACAAGGAAATATAAAAACGTCCCCTTATCTGTGCTACCAAGGCCGTTTCTGTTTACTGTGAATGTTTACTAGTTATACACATACTTGTTAATACAAAGTGTGAACAATTCCGCTGAAAAGTTTAGTCGCACTAAGACTACAAATTATAAAATTCGTAATTCAAAAATGTTGTACTGGATAAAGAGGAGGATTTCAGCACGGACATAAAGCACTCCTGGTTTTATTATTTCCCGCCATTGACTGCGGTATCTCCCTCGCAAATGTAATCATTCAGCTGTCAAAATGTTATTGTATATAGAGGGACAAAAGCTTATTGACATATGATAATTAGCCACAACAACCCAGCCTTGCAATGTTTGCCATATTGAATCATCAATTTATTCCGTGTAATTTTTACTCTGTGCAGTCACTCATATTTGATGCATTTCGAATGGACGAAGAGAGAGCGAGAGAGAGAAATGATTGTGTATTTTAAATGATAAGTTAGAAATTTTTCCGAGTTATAATATAGCTATGTAGCCTATTCTAAAACAATTTACACAATAAAAAACAATTTACACTAAAACAATTTAGAATAGGCTACCTGTTTAAATTAAAAATTTACTTTTGCAATTACGTTACAGATATTGTCAATGGTATATGAAGTATAAGATCATATTTTTGGAGTATATTTTAAAGTTTCTTTGCATTTTAATTTTTTTAAATTAATTTTTATAATAGTGCATACGATTTAGAAGTGCGACAAGTAATAGTGACATTAGTCAATACAACACTGTAGGCCTATTATTTACGTTAAATTTATTTCAGCGTTGCTAGATCTCCTTTTGTTTTAAAACTTCAGATCTATTTTAAACCCGATGCGGTTATACTTGTCTTACCGACCAATCATGCGTTGAAGTTGGACGGGTTGCCGCAGACTGGAGTGATGTTGGTTTTAACTTCTAATTGATGCGGCCTCCTGAGTTTGGCAGTTGCTGAGGAGAGTCTATTACTGGACAAAATATTCGTGGTGCTCTTCAACTTCTATCATCTACTCCGATTGTTAGTTAAAATTATAATTATAAACTTATAGTTGAAAACTCTATTTATATTGCCAGAAAAATAAGTAGTCTATCGCTTTTAGTGAAAAATGTATTTCTACTTTGAGATTTATATAATTTTGTTTTATATTTTCTTTATTAGTGAACCTATAGCTTAAGGTGTTCTCAAATCCGTCGAGTCACCAGAATATCGTTGTGCTAAAACCTGCGATTGGCAACATTTGAACCTCGTCCTCGAAACAGAAGTTCCGAGCTCTGAACCGCTAACCAACTCGCCCCTATAAATAAATACACTCTATTTCCGCCATACACTCTACAGCGTTACCAATGATCACTGATAACACTTCGGATTGGTTGGGATATATACTTATTATTGTCTTTTTACTGTGGCGAGCATTTTAATCTGGGAAGCTGATTGGCAATAATGCTCGCCTGAATTCCATAGGTTGCCGCCAATTAGTGTACACAAACTATACCGGTTCGATCCTGTGAAATGTCAAAATTTGTTTAATGGCTAAAAACTGGACCCAGCCG